GAACCCCAACACACGCCTCTGTTTTTTTTTTACTCATATGTTAATCTACTAATCAATTAAAAAGCAAAAAGGAACTGAAATCAAATATCACTCAAACAAAACGCTTTCTTTTATCTTCTGTAATGGAACTGTCTTTACCGAAACAAATCTATTTATCTATTTTCTACGACGATACTCCAGTTTTTAGATTTGTGCACCCTTAACCTCGAAAGCATGTAATATAATTATCTATGAAATACCTATATTTCTCCATTACGTAAAATTTATATTTTCACTAGTGAAAATAACACATTCGAGGTTTCTCTATATAGTGGAAGTAAGAAAAAAGATATTGTCCGACATAATTTGCTTTCATATTTAATTATATGATAAACAGAATATTACATGGTCGCTTTGAGATACGAATTTTATCTTCTCGTGTTGAAAATCGCTACGCTCACTCGTGAGAGATCTTTTCAACACTCGAAGATAAAATCCGTATCTCCGCGAGCCCATGTAATATCCTCTATTTTATTCAGCAGAGAATCTATTGTAATGCAAACACTCTGTGTACAAAGAAGACAATAATGATTTTTGTTTGATTGAAACTAAGTTTGCACAAAAGAGAATTCGAAACTGGAGTATTTAGGTGTCTTCCGAATCTTTCCACAGGGAACCCAAGAGCCACAAGTCACTTATGCAGACCTGGCATCATTCAACAATAATGAGGAGACCGTTGTCAATATGCCACCACCCTACCAGCCTGTCCAATATGCTGAGATTATCGGCACCAAGACGTCCAAAAGAAAATAACTAATTCATCAATATGGCTTGAAGGGGATAAAAATGTGCAACCGCTGTACACTTTTTCCATGCTTCGAAATATTCTTTGAAAAAATAATACCGCTATTAGAACATATCTTAAAGTTTACGCATTAAGTGAAAAAATTTCCTCAAAAATGAAAAAAATAAGGGACACTATTTTTTATTGAGTCCGTAGCACCAAACGCTTTTGAATTCAATCTGACATGTATTTAATTCAATGCTTATTCATGACTTGTTTTTAATGGAGCAGAGTAACGTGAACCATGAAATAGAAACTAAATACTTAGTAAGCAATAGGCAGTATTTATAAGACACTATCACTGAACCAGAACAGTACAAAGAGACTACTTTGATTGTTATAGTGGTCTCTTGGCTTTTGGTAAATAAACTGTTCTGGTTCAATACTAACGACTATAAGGAACTAATATAGTGCATATTAATTAGTACTTTTTAGTTTTTATTTCATGGTTCATGTGACTCTGCTCTATAAGCTTTGCAACTAACGCGCGCAAAAAAAGAAAAAAAATGACCTGATATAATTGCATGAAGTTACAGGGAAAAAAAACATTAGAACAGCATGTAAAATTCATAGTTCCCGTTAGAAACTAAACTCAATCGATGATTGTAATAGCAACAGCGATAGCAGAGACAAATTACTGTTTCATTCTCCATTTATTGACCAATCTCAGAATACCTCAACGTCCTCTAATCTGCCATGCCAGTATTTGTAAATTTTCAGGTTTAATGACCCATCGCTCATTCATCGCTACCATGTTGAATAAAATAATCCTAAATAATTGTCCTTGATAAAATCTGTAATATATATTTACAGTTTTACAATGATACTGTCATAAAAGTGACATATTGACACAAAATACACCAGAATAACAGATATCCACATGGCTTATGTGCAGTAATTATCTATACGACCGTATCAGCTCATTCCGACGCACCATGAATTCATTACTTTCCTCTTGAATCCAGTCCAATAGGACTCCTACAATAATCATATACTATATATATACTGAGTATATGCGGAAGGATCATTAAGATAACTTCCTACCTTCCTTGTTTGAATGGAAGGAGAATATCCAGTATAACGTGCAAGGTAAGTGTGGTATATTAAATATCGGTATCTCGAAACTATACTGAATCTCCACATGTTTCAGACTCTACTTTCTAGACAGACTCAGATGTAGATTATATTACATCTACCACTGAAATAGAATGACAAGTTCAATCAAAGTCAACAATGGTTCAGAAGATCATGCACTTTAGTTTTCACAAGAAAAGACCAGCTCGAACTGTATGTTTTCTTGTTTTACTAAGTTTTTTTCAGCCATTTCTCATCATTTTTCAGCAAAAGATTAGATTTAAGGAACAAGCAGAATCGAAAGCAGCAATGTCTATCAGAACAATGCAAAACTGGATATCAACCATAGAGATCTCAGTATTTGTCATTTCTTGTGCTATCTTGAATGGTGTAAAAGGTGTTGAAGGTATAGTTGTATGTACGAACGAAAGACTTACAAACCGATATTCACAAACAAAACTGCCCGAAGCCGCACTACAACGTCACATAAAACGTTTTGTTGCGTTATTAGCTCGAAGGAATATGGATGTCAAGAGACAAAGCGGAATGACAAAATGTTATGAAACGTGAACGTTAAATTGATACATGATGCATGCGAAAACAATTAATAGGAAATTAAATTCGAGAAGTGAATTTTGACCAAATTTCTATTGCTTCAGTGAATCTATCCACTACTATATAACCATTCTGTGATGTCATGGGTAATTTACAAAGGGAAGTAAGCTTCAACTATATATCCGAATTGGTTGTTACATGTGCTTTTAGTGGAAGGCCATGTCTTATTAAATGTTGACGGATTTTCAAGACGATTGGGCCACAGGAAGCCCATCTAAGTATTTTACAACTTTTTCCGCAAGTTTTTAGTGAATATGTTCGGCAGCTTGAGATTTTGCCGTATGAGTCCGGGTGTAAGAAGTCTCGAGAAATACTGCTCTACGTTATGGTAGCAAATGATGTTTCGACTTCCTGCGTGGAATCATGTTTTGAAGATGATTTTCACTCACGATGTCGAAACGTCAGGTACTACCTATAACTTAACTAAGTCTCAAGAAATCTTGCACCCTGAAGATCATACTATTTCTATATCAATATATCGCTTCGGTTCAGACAATCAAAATTCTTAACGGAGAGTGACAATAAACTGTACATGTTATGTTATACGTCATGTCCACTGAAAACGTTTTTTGTTTGTTTGTTTGTTTGTTTTGTAGGCAATTCGACTAATTTTAACTGTTCACGTTATCAATTTGTTTACAAACCAAAAAAGAGTTGGTCGGACAGTTCTAAAGCTTGTAGTGGAAATAATGGTACCCTAGTATGCATTGAAACTGAAGAGGAGTTTAAGTACATCAACAGCGTGATAGGTATACAGAAAAAAACTGAATGGTTTATTGGTCTGAAAAAGGTCAACGGTCAGTGGCAATGGCTTAATGAAAAAGCATTATTGAACTGGGGGAAAACAGGACTATGGCCGTGGAAACAAGGCAGTCCATCTGACCTCAAGAATGATGATTGTGCAAAGATGTGGAATCTTCACGGAAAGGACTTCCGTTACGATGATATACACTGTACAAACGAACAAGAAAGAGGCTACATATGTGAATACCCAAATGGTAAATGCAGTTACGTTTTTGATCTAATAGTCTCCTTCACGGTTCCCTGTCCCATCTTGAAAGGTAACCGTGCCTTTGCATCAAAGTGAGAGAGCGTAGATGGTGAAATGATAGAAAACTTCTTTCACAGCTATTCTTGGTGTGCAACCACATGACCAGGAATCCCCTGAGAAATAAAGAGCAAAGATATCGCCGCCATGTTGGATGAATGAACAAGAGAAAATAATGAGGAATGCTTTGTGATTTTCATCCAACATGGCGGTGATGACGTAACTTGCACACAAAGAATAGACAATTATTCACAGACAACAATATCAAAATCATTTGAATTTATCATTGCTTTTGAATTATTTGTAAGACCTTTCCAACAAAAAAATTAAAAAAAATACATAATAATATCAATAACATTCACGATTTACCTGGAGTTGTAAGCTAAAATACTTCACCTGAATTTTAAAAACATTTTTTTGCGTAACATGTTGTTGTTGTCTTTATAGCTTCACATCTGAACAACGTTAATGGATTGATTGTATGTAAAGCGGATTTCGTATGAGTGGGACACCGTTACCGCACGGTTACCGCATAGTTACCGCACCTGGCCTGCACAATTTTGTTGAACCAATGGGGCACTAGAATTTGGTTACAGTACGATTACGGTTACAGTACAGTACCGTCCGTTTCCCACTCATACGAAATCCGCTCTATCTATCATTGAATATTCAATGATCGTCTCGCATCGATAAGGAGCGGTTACATTCAAGTTGACGCAGAAAAGTGTGAAGGAGACTAACCCTAAATGATCTTTTTATATAGCGATTTTTGAAGAATGTATAAGCAACAAGTCATTGCAAACAACATCGACCTTAAAGACAACCAAAGGTATTTGATTATCTTTATCATTGTCCATCTATATGCAATCAAATTAAATTAAATACCTAACTTCAAATTTATTGCTTTAGTGATTGTAAGCATCATTGTATTTTAAAAGGCGCTCAAATCACGAAAAACACTGAAACAGCAGCAACCTATTCATCAGCGTCGACGACAACAGCCCAATCAAATTTCAGACCGCTGGAGACAACAAGGTCGACAACGTCTGCACGAATAGTGATTTCAATGACAAATGGTGTACAAGCTGTCCAGGGATCCAGCACCAGTACACCTCAGACTACGCAGGAAAGTTCAGGTTCTTCTACACAACGCACTGCCACAATACACATCGCGCCATCATCGGCGAAAATATCATCCTATAGAAAAGCGTCAACAACGAGTCGAAATCCGACAGAGAAAAGATCAGGTTCTTCTAAACAACGTACTCATCCAATACGCGTCGCTCCATCATCGGCGAAAACACCACCCAATAGAAAAGCGTCAAAAACGAGTCGAAATCCGACAGAGAAAAGAACAGGTACGAGAAAGGCATCAATGATACTACAAACACGACGAAAAAAAATCTATAATGAAATCTTGGCTTTGGTATTGATTTATTTTAGTTAAATATTTGTTCAAACGTTTGTTACGTTATACTGTGAAGTATAGCTGTTCACCAGAAGGACAGTATCGCTTTGCGCGTATGAACACGATGACTGAAGAATTCAGTAATGAAGTGATTAAATTATTACAAAATTTTAACAGTTATTTTTTCTTAGTCGTTCATACAGGAGATACGCAGCAAAAAGACGAATTCCCCATTACATACCTCGCCATTGCGCTTGCTGTTCTCTTACTGTTCTTGATCTGTATGTTGGTAGCGATATACTGCTGGAAGAATAAAAAGAAAGGTAACATGAAATGTCTAGTTTTGCTAGAAGATTCAATAGTTTTAATACGCATTCTTTATTGCACTAAATTGTAGTAAGCGCTCCACACACTTTGCCCGACTATGGCGGCTTTTTTCGTCAAAGTTTTTGTCCAAAAATTAACGGTTCTGATTGGCTGATCAATTCTCTGTCATCTTATCGTTCGTTTAACACCCATAATGATTTGACTGTTTGATTATCTAGCTTCAGATAAAGCTGGAGTTTCTGAGGAAGATGGGTAAGTACATGCAATCTTTATGAATAAAATGGTTCTAATACAATTCACTGACAAATCGCACAGGGTAATTAATTAATCAAGAAAAAAGTGCATTTAATTTCTTTTATAAACTTTTGCCATTTTAATGATCTAACAGAATGCAATCTCCAACTACAACAGACGTTAGTGGTATCATTAAAAGCAACTCTTTCGTGGCGTTCAAAATGGTCCACAATAACTTGGCTAATTCAAAACCAACCAGTGCTAAACCAACCAATGACTCCTCACCAACAGACGGTACCTATGAAGCTGTTTGTCTTAAAAATGAGGAAATGAACTTAAAGAGAACCATAGATAGTAATGTAACATCTGAAACAGAGAAACAAAATATGAATGAGGTCCCGGAAAGTCCCACATCGCACCATAACCAAAATGTAGAAGTCGTCTACGCTTCAGTTGATAAGTCAGCTAAGACGAAGAAAGTAAGTCTGTCTTTTAATTTAATTCATTTATTTTCATCCATGTATTGAGTATTGCATGCATTTATTAAGCAATTCTTCCGGCGAAACATTTAAGCTTATTTGCATCCATTCATCKCATTTTYCATTCGTTTCCATTMACTCATTCTTTYATTTATAMAATCAAATAGTAAGCAATAACTCATTTTTGACGAGATCCCTTCATTGCATTCTCATTTTCATTCAAATGCACCGGTTTCTTTTTATATTCGAATGAATACTTCATAATTTTATATGATTAATCGACACTTATTCCTATTCTTTCCACAGGGAAACCAAGAGMCACAGGTCACCTATGCAGACCTGGCATCATTCAACAATAACGAGGAGACCGTTGTCCATATGCCACCACACTACCAGCCTGTCCAATATGCTGAGATTATCGGCACCAAGAAGCCCAAAGGAAAATAACCAAACACACTATACTACTAATATGGCGGCAATTKACCATACAACCGCMATCTTGAACTTTGTCGAAATTATGGGATGCCCAACGGCAACAGTTTCTTGTAGATTTTATAGTTTGAACTATTACTTCAAAATGTACAAATATATTTGGCTAATAGATGATSGTATAGCATTTCCAAGAGATGTAGAAATTATACCGAATAAGTAGCTGTTTCCTACGACGAACCTTGTTATAATAAAACCTTGCATTGCAAGTCGTCGACGCGCATGCTCAAGAGAAAAAACATCGAAAATAAACGCACAGACGAGTTTCAGATTAGATTATCCTATATCATTAAAGCTGTAATAAATAAAATATCGCTGTATTCTTTGGAACATAATAAAAACATTGCATTATAAAGTTTCAGGGGAACTTCTGTAGATACATGTGTTGATTCCGGTAATGAATAAATCTGGTGACGCGATTTACCATCTACCTTGGGCTCATCTTGATGATATTAAAAACAATACAAACCTTTTTTCTTTTTTCTTTTAATTCAGACCATAACAATTATCCACAACTTAGAGTGCACGTCACATAAGCATGAAACAATTCTTAACTAATTAGCGCCTAATAAGAATTTAGTTATCAACTAACTAAGAGTTTAGTGAGGCATAAACAAAGACAAGTTTCCTTTCTGGCATTGTGTTCATGCCCCAGTGAATTCTTAGTTAGTTGATAACTAAATCTTATTAGGCGCTAATTAGTTAAGAATTGTTTCATGCTTATGTGACGTGCACTCTATTAGCCCGGCCCTAAATGCCAGACTACGTACTGAGAGTACGTCTCGAGGTCTGATTCCAGCGCCAAATCTACCTCCATCATACCTACCTATTAATGTAAGAATAATAATTGTTTTATTTTGAAATATTTTGATTAACATGATGCGAACCTAATTAAATGAATCGATACACTATCGTGATTTATAGAAAAARAATAGAAAGTCAAATAACAACAGCAAGGACAGATTGCTGCTTCAGTTTACTGTAAACAAACGCATTTTTTAGACACAAGCTTTCAGAACTGAACATAAACATGACATTCTTTAGAGCGCTTGCCCAATAGTAGCCCGACATGTTCAGCATATCCCGTCCAATCAAAAACTTCTCCGCGATAATTAGTGATAATTAGCGGTCCGCTTGAACTCATTGAAGACGGTAGAATACTGATGTGATCAATGTGTGAAGATACTGCAAGCATAATGCCTCTCAGGTTGATATTAACTTTAGAGATCTTAGTGCTCTCCTGGACTACAACTTATGGAGTTGAAGGTACTTGGAACTTGTCATGTATATAAAGCAAGGAATTACATACTAGTGCTAGCGAGCAAATTATCATGTATAAATGGAGATATTGGATAGTTCTTCATAGTTCTTTTTTTTAATCATGTTGAATAGACAAGCTCCTTCTCAGGATCGATCTTAGTGAAGTGCCCAAGGAATATTCTGTTAATCAGAGATTCATCCATGAAGGCAAACCACCGTTTAAAACGAGTTTCAGTCGTGTAAAAATATCTAATAAATTGTGTTAATAAAACGTTTAATCTTCAGAAACCCTTTTTTCCAGGCTCCTTTTCTTCTCAGTTTAACTGCTCGAGATACAAGTTTTTTTACTTGCAACGCAAAACCTGGCAACAAAGTATGGAAGCTTGTGCCAATGACAATGGTACTCTACTGTGCATAGAGACGAAAGAGGAGTGGATATTCATAAACAGTAAAATAAATACATCGAAAAACGACTGGTATATTGGTCTGAGAAAGGTTGACAATCACTGGAAATGGGTGAATGGCAAACCATTGAAGTGGACGAAGAGGGGGGAAATGGCCTTGGCATAGAGGTGCACCAAGTGGCGACGGAAATGTTGTAAAAATGTGGGGCAGAAGAGGAGCAAACCTTTTTGATGATGCTAGAGGTATTATACGACTAGGTTACATATGTCAATACCCAAACGGTAAGAATAGATACTATTGAGATAAAGAACACTAATAAAACGCAATCGAAATCATAAATCATATACTGATCATAAGTAGACAATATTTTTTTTATCAGGTTATGAAGGATGCAAAGGTGATTCGCCATTAAAAACAACATCATCGCCATTAAGTATAACCACAGGTATTACTTCAATCTTCATCAAATATTCCATTA